ACTACAAGTTGATTGTCCATGATGAGGCCATAGTCTGTTATGGGAATATTATCATTCTTGTTTATTTTAGTAGCATTGACTCATATATTTTTTTTAATCTGCAGAATCCCTGTGAAGCCAAACCATGTCAAAATGGAGGCGAGTGCAGCATTGAGGACAACAATCAAGGTTACCAATGCAAGTGTAAGACTGGATTCAAAGGAAATAATTGCCAAGGTAAGCATCAAGTACTGAAGGGGAATTATCAAATTACATTCAAAAGACATGAAGCGCGGGTCCCCTCAAAACACCATTTTCAATTCATTATTCGATTCTTGGTCGATTCAACATTTTATATTTGTTTATCCAAACAAAAATTCTTCGCATATGAATTGAAGCAAAAGCACACATATTTAATTAGTAAGTTCTAATAATGCCCATTTTTTTAAACATTTGGTATAAAGGAAAGATTGTGATGTACTGTGTGATAGACCCATTGAATGTAGAGGTCCCTGCGCAGTACAGAGTTCAACGCTGTAAAAGTTTTGGCTAATATTTTTTATATCATTGTTCATATAAAATATATAATCTATTCGCAATTATTATTCTTGATCATCGATTACGCATGCGCAGTCACGTGCCCGATACCAGTTGGAATGGAGAGCGGAAAGATTCCCGACTCAAGCATCACAGCCTCTTCTCAATACGGCTACTACTACGCAGGTAAATGTGATATTCCTTGTAAGGGTGACCTTTATCAGATATAAAGGTCCATGACCCTAGCAAAGGTCTCATATACGAAACTTGATTTCGCTATAAAATAGTCACTTTGTTTTGGTCTTGATCTTGGTTTATTCACAGATCACTTCACTACTAAACTCTGTTTGCTCACAATCTCTCGACCCTCTCTTGCGTTGTGTAACTCTCTCACCACACCCCCTCTCACATTACATACGATCTCACTTCCGCTCAAAATTATTACAAAATCACTTCCGGTCACTCAGGTTGAAACCTGACCATTGACCAATGCAGGATGTCAACCAATTTCAAGTATTTCAGTGAACAGCCAAGAGCGCTTCTATTTTACTTTATGCGTATTCAATGTGGGATGACAAGAGTGCTTTGTAAAGTGATTCGCGCATGATCAGTTTGCCCCATTTATCTCTGAACATATTTGTATGGCAATTTCTCCAAGAATTTAAACCGATGTGAGTTTCAAATTAGTGTTGGTAGGAGTTTTTGAAGCCGTTTAAAACACTCGAGATCATGTTTTATCAGGTATAACATTCTCTGCTCTCGTGTTTTAAACTATACAAAATATCTCATCACGGCACTGTATAAATTTTTGTTCACGTACAACAGAAATCTTTGCATCGGGACTTCATTTGGAATTTGTTCATTTCTTGGACATATCCCAAAGAAATTTAATTTGCATTCTTTGTAAATATTCAAAACAAATTTCTCAAAAGTACAAAGACACAGCATCTTATGTAGTAACTTCGAAGTTCTTTTTGTTTCTTAATATAAACGTTTCTTTTTGGTATTATTCTGGAAGGAATAATTCGCTCAGGCTCCGTCCAGCTTCGGAGAAAAGACTAGATAGATGATAGATAAGATAGATAAGCCTTTGTTAACTTATACCGCTCAGGGTAGCCCCATCAGATGCAAAAAGCAATCTGTTATCAATGGGAGCCCTGAGCATAACAATATAAACTACAATATAATATATATGTGCATAGTACATTATAAGTAACACTAGAAATATGATGATAGATAGATAGAAAATATTAATGTAAAAAGATATAAAAATTTGCATAAATACTAAATTCTATTTGGATAATTCATTAAAAAGAGTGCAACCATAGCAGTAAAAAGATCATTTTGCGATCTCGGTCCACACAGGAGGTGGATGTAAAAAATTGCTTTGTCTAGTAGCAAGCGCATGGATTGACTTAACACCCTTCGAGTTCACAATGCAACGATTTTTGCGGTAATTTTAGTTCAACTTTAATTTTTCCATGATGTGATCGAGTTAGGAATAATGTTTCTACTGTCATTACAATTGCTTTTAAAATTGTTGATTTGCCATCATGTGTTCATTGCTGTGCCGGTATTTTTATCGCTATTGCTTTTCTTATTCAAGTGTTTGTTATCCAAATCCGAATACAACTTCGCCATTGCGTGGCCGGCCTTCAACACAAATATTGATCTCGCTATCACATCATTTGTGTCCTAACGTACTGTCAATCATGATATAGAAATGAAAGAAAGTTATAGTGCTTAGAAGGAGGCAATTCCGGGAGAAGTCCCTTAGGAATAAATTCNTACAATAGTTTTTGATGTTGAACTCGCTCGAAAAAATACGAGGGAAGGATTCAAGAAGGAACAAACTAAAGCACCAAATGGCCGTGTGTACGTGCTTGGATAGAAGGGACCAAGTCACACCGATTACTTCTGATTCATACACGTTGGTTAATTCCGAAGAATAGATTCTTTTAAAAGTAACGGCGAATTGCAGATCTTGGTTATTGTTGTCTCTATTCTCTGATGAACATATGAAGAAAAGCTGCGGGACTCGAACTTATTACACTCTCCTCAAGTTTTGCTGGCCGCACTGGTCTTTTTTAGGGTAAAAATAGTTTAGTTTACTTAGTTTATTTGATGTTCAGCAGGGAAATGTGGGGTTGATGAATTGAATTGAATAACTCGTTATAAATTCAGCGGGCTATATATGAGTGATTCCGGTCACTCATATATAGCCTGCTGAATTTATAACGAGCTATTCAATTCAATTCATCAACCCCACATTTCCCTGCTGAATATCAAATCCCTCCCCGGCTTTAAGTTTCTATGGTATATACAACCCTAWGAATAACAAAGAAAACCTAGTGAATTGGAAACTAATGTGTGATAGACCCATTGAATGTAGAAGGCCCTGCAGTTTAGAGTTCAACGCTGTAAAAGTTTTGGCTAATATTTTTTTATATCATTGTTCATATAAAATATATAATTTATTCGCAATTATTATTCTTGATCATTGATTACGCATGCGCAGCCACGTGCAACATACCAGTTGGAATGGAGAGCGGAAAGATTCCCGACTCAAGCATCACAGCCTCTTCTCAATGGCACGACTACTTCCGCAGCTACCACCCAGGTAAATGTGATATTCCTTGTAAAGTCTCTTCAAAAATTCATACATAATTAATGAGTCATAAGGCCAATAGAATGAGCCTATTTGGTCACATGCATGGACCTTTATATCTGATAAAACACTCTTTATTAGTATTCTTTATATAAAGAATACTAATAAGGGTGACCTTTATCAGATGTAAAGGTCCATGACCCTAGCAAAGGTCTCAGGTTGCCAACCTGATCATTGACCAATGCAGGATGTCGGCAACCAATTTCAGTGAACAGCCAAGAACGCTTCTATTTTACTTTATGCGTATTCAATGTGGGATGACAAGAGTGCTTTGTAAAAGTGATTAGCGCATGATCAGTTTGCCCCATTTATCTCTGAACATATTTGTATGGCAATTTCTCCAAGAATTTAAACGGATTTGAGTTTCAAATTAGTGTTGGAGTTTTTGAAGCCGTTTAAACACTCGAGATCATGTTTTATCAGGTATAACATTCTATCACGTGTTTTAAACTATACAAAATATCTCATCACGGCACTGTATAAATTTTTGTTCACGTACAACAGAAATCTTTGCATCGGGACTTCATTTGGAATTTGTTCTTTTCTTGGACATGTATCCCAAAGAAATTTAATTTGCATTCTTTGTAAATATTCAAAACAAATTTCTCAAAAGTACAAAGACACAGCATCTTATGTAGTAACTTCGAAGTTCTTCTGACTGTTTTTGTTTCTTAATATAAACGTTTCTTTTTGGTATTATTCTGGAAGGAATAATTCGCTCAGGCTCCGTCCAGCTTCGGAGAAAAGACTAGATAGATGATAGATAAGATAGATAAACCTTTATTAACTTATACCGCTCACGGGGTAGCCCCATCATATGCAAAAAGCAATCTGTTATCAATGGGAGCCCTAAGCATAACAATATAAACTACAATATAATATATATGTGCATATTACATTATAAGTATTACTAGAAATATGATGATAGATAGATAGAAAATATTAATGGTAAAAAGATATAAAAATTTACATAAAATACTAAATTCTATTTGGATAATTCATTAAAAAGAGTGTGTGATGACCTCAAGTTTGTCGTCATGTATGACGTATGATATAGGATTAGCAAGAGATAAGTAGTATTGGACAACCCTCGGACAAGGAGCTTGTAAAGATTGTCGTGGACAAGTACTCAGAAGAAAGATTAATAAAATTGTTATCAACTTCGGAATCGTGCAATTTGAAGGCTATAACATAATTTGGGGGCTCAGACGATGGCAGAGATGGACCTTGAATCGCGCCAATTGACAATGGAACAAAAGATTGTGGATCTTTCTCTTGAGCGTTTACAAGAACTTGCCACACATCTCGAGCTTGTCGTGGACGGAGATGGTAAGCTAAAGGTTCTTCGACACGTCCGACGTAAATTAGAAGAAAGAATAGACAGTGCGGAGGATAAATTGTCAGTGGTAACAGACATTCTGGAGTTTATTGGAACACCTAACACCGAAGCGGCACAAGTCGATGAATACGCACAAGCCAAAGACGAGCTACAACGTATGCAAGATGAATTCAAAAAGACCTTGGAACTTCAACAGAAGCAGATTGACGAGGCTACGGCGAAGCTATCATCAATTACACAGTCGAAGAATGTCGCCGAGCAAGAAACCGTGAGTAATACGTCTAATAACATGTCGAATACCGATTCTATACTGAGACGTGAATTTAAAATCGTGGGTTCCATTGGAGGAGAAAAAGACAAACTCTCTTATGTTGGCCTCATGCGCCAAATCGAGAGTGGAACCGCTAAAGGTTACAAAGAGGCTGAAATTATAGAAGCGGTTATTCGTTGCATCAACTATA